GCACCAGTGTGTGCACCCTAATAGAAACTTATGTTTAGAATTCTGAAATGCACGGCGCTGCGTGGCACAATGGGTTGGCAAGCAGTGCTTCTGTGTGCGACCCCCTTAAATCGGCTCAGTTCAGATCAATTACGTAAATGAGTTAAATAAACTATATGCATAATTCTAAAAATTAAGGGTGGTGCAGTGGGTAGTGCTATTGCCTCACACCAAGAAGGTCGCTGGTTCAAGCCTCAGCTGGGTCAGTTGGCATTTCTGTGTGGAGTTTGCATTCTCTCTCCGTGTTTGTGTAGGTTTCCTACGGGTGCTCTGGTTTCCCCCACAAGTCCAAACACATGCGCTGTAGGTGAATTGGGTTAGCTAAATTGACAGTAGTGTAAGTGTGTGAATGCAAGAGTGTATGGGTGTTTCTCAGTGATGGGTTGCAGCTGAAAGGGCATCCGCTACATAAAACATATGCTGGATAAATTGGTGGTTCATTCCGCTGTGGTGACCCCAGACTAATAAAGGGTCCGAAAAGAAAATGAATGAATAAAAATTAATTTAACGTAACAGTTGCAAATTACGTGTTTTCTTTTTTGTTTTTTGTTTTTTAAACATTTTTATACTGTAGATTTTAGGCGTTATTTTGAACAACAAAAGACAAAACAATGTGTAAAAAACGTTTTCATAAAAATGACCTACACTGAAAAAACTATTACTTAGATTAAACTAAAAAAATAAGGCAACATTCTCCAACTAGTTTTTGTAAGTTTATAGAACTTGTTATTTTAATTTGGTAAAAATCAATATTATATATTTCACTGTATGCTAAAAAAATAAGTAGAGTCTACAATATAATGCAAAACCTTTGAGTTTTACCACTGTGACAAAGATCAGTATATTGACCAAATAATACTTAGTTAAAATAAGTAACATTTAAAATAAAAATAAGCCTTTTGATTATTTAAATCATTTTCTCTATTACTCTTAATTTTTACAAATTATTTCTTTGATCCAACTTTTATAAGGAAAGAGAGGTATTTGTTTCCAACATTATGACTCTATAACAGTCGCCATATATACAAACAACTGGGAGCACTAAGTTTCTATAATCAATATTAAGGTTAATGTTGTAAAACATTTTAACATTAAAAATGACAGAAACTTCTAACCTCATCTTAAAGTGCAGCATACACACATGCACAAGATTACATGCAGGAGACAAGAATTATGCTTTATGTTATTATTTATAACCGGAGTTAGTCATACATTTTATTTATTTTTTTTAGAAATCATTTGGCCACCGCAATAAATGAAAAGATAAGATTGTAAAATTCAATTCTTTAAATGACGCAAAAATGAACAAAAAGAATAAAACAAAAACATTACATTTGAATATAAATGAATTAATCTAACATGTTAACAACAAAAAGCTAAGTGGGAGATACAGTAGTGTTAACATTATGTGTTATGAGTGGTTGGATTATACGCTATTATATTCCATATTGGCTGCATGGTGGCGCAGTGGTAAGCACGTTGGCCTCACAGCAAGAAGGTCGCTAGTTTGAGCCTCGGCTGAGTCAGTTGTCGTTTCTGTGAGAAGTTTGCATGTTCTCCCTGTGTTGGTGTGAGTTTCCTCCGGGTGCTCCGGTTTCCCCCACAAGTCCAAAGACATGCGGTACAGGTGAATTGGTGTAGGCTAAATTGTCCATAGTGTAGGTGTATGAATGTTTCCCAGTGATGGGTTGCAGCTGGAAAGGCATCCGCTGCATAAAACATATGCTGGATAAGTCATTCCACTGTGGCGACCCCTTATTAATAAAAGGACTAAGCTGAAAAAAAAATGAATGAATGAATGAACACTTTTATTTTTAGAAATATAAACAAATTCAGATATTAATGTTTACAGATAAAACTATCAACCTTTCACTTAAATACCCTTGTAGTAATACTGTACAAGTAAAACAGAACAGTATAGATGTCTTAGCATGCATAAATGAATCCATGGCTGTTTGAAAGCAAATAGAGGCAAAGATAGCCAAATAGATAGAAGTGTGTGTGTGTGTGTGTGTGTGTGTGTGTGTGTGTGTGTCATGGCAGGGTGCTGAATGAGCTCTCTTGAAGGGGGGGTCACTTGTGGGAGGTCATGACCTAGTCGACCCTGGGGGAGTGGAGATCATCAATCAGCAAGAGGCAGGACCAAACAGCAGGAGCTGAACACACCCCCTGTCCCCTAAACCACCCCCTCACACACACACACTGGTGCTAAGCAGATGGCCTTGTAACAACTAGCTTTTGCTCACCTTACACGCACTCATAGATTCACAGATTGAGTGTAATTGATTTTTTTGTTTCTGCTGTTGTTCAGACAGCATTTCACATGTCCCTTTCTGTGAGTTATTAGCAAAGAAACAATATATATATATATATATATATATATATATATATATATATATATATATATATATATATATATATGAAGTCAGAATTATTGGAATTTTACAGAATCCCCTATGCGTTTTTTCCTTTTTAAAATATTGCTCAAATGATGTTTAAGAGAGCAAGGAAATTTTCACAGTATGTCTGATAATATTTTTTTCTTCTGGAGAAAGTCTTATTTGTTTTATTTTGGCTAGAATAAAAGCAGTTTTTTAATAAAAAAAAAAACATTTTAAGGTCAAAATTATTAGCCACTTTAAGCTATATATTTTTCAATAGTCTACAGAACAAACGTTATACAATAACTTGTCTAATTAATCTGCCTAGTTAATCTAATTAACCTAGTTAAGCCTTTAAATGTCACTACTGTATAGAAGTGTCTTGAAAAATATCTAGTCAAATATTATTTACTGTCATCATTACAAAAATAAAATTATTAAGTTGTTAGAAATGAGTTATTAAAATTATTATTTATGAATGTGTTGAAAAAAATTCTTCTCTCTGTTAAACAGAAATTGAGGGAAACAGGGGGCTAATAATTTTGACTTCAACTGTATATGTGAATTCCAAGATAATCTTTTTTTGTTTCTAACATCATGCATCTTATTTTTCTTGATACTGGAAGTGCATATTAAATGTGCAGTATACAAGGTTTTGTAAGACACAAATATCATATGCAATTTCATGGGAAGCACCTGCACTAAGCCATAAATCAGGCAAGCTATTAATTTCATTATTTAAATTCTGAGAGGTAACAGTCAAACCCTTATCACGTGTCTAACTGGTGAAGATTGTAAAAAGTAGCATGTATACCAACAGCGCCTCCTATTGTAGTCAACAGGAGACATGACGACTCATTGTCTATGCATGTATGTATGGATATGTAACTATATATATATATATATATATATATATATATATATAGTGAAGTCAGAATAGCCGCCCTGAATTATTAGCCCTCCTGTTTATTTTTTCCCCAATTTCTGTTTAACAGAGTTTAAGATTTTTTAAAACTATAATAGTTAATATTTTACTAGATATTTTTCAAGACACTTCTGTGCAGCTTAAAGTGACATCTAAAGGCTTAACTCGGTTAATTAGGTTTAGGCAGGTTAGGGTAATTAGGCAAGTTATTGTATAACGATGGTTTGCTCAGTAGATTTTCAAAAAGCTTAATAGCTTAAAGAGGCAAATAATTTTAACCTTAAAATGTTTTTTTTTATTATTATTATTATTAAAAACTGCTTTTATTCTAGCTGAAATAAAACATATAAGACTTTCTCCAGAAGAAAAAAATATGAAACATCATTTGGGAAATATTAAAAACGAAAAAAATGAATAAAGAAAAATTGATGTGGGACTAATAATTCTGACTCTAACTGTATATATTTATATTTCTAAAATGAAGCTTTGGCAGTAAGCAGTAGTTGGTCATGTGGTAATTAATTACATAATTATATATGAATGTATATTTAAAAACTATAACAGAAGTTATATTATCTTGTGACCTAATGATTAACAATCAAATGGAAAATATATATTTGAAAAATAAACAAACATTGTATGAAAAGAGGTGAAGCAGTGGTGCAGTAGGTAGAGCTGTCGCCTTACAGCAAGAAGGTTGTTGGGTCGCTGGTTCGAGCCTCGGCTCAGTTGGCGTTTCTGTGTGAAGTTTGCATGTTCTCCCTGCGTTCACGTGGGTTTCCTCCGGGTGCTCCTGTTTCCCCCACAGTCCAAAGACATGCGGTACAGGTGAATTGGGTAAGCTTAATTGTCCGTAGTGTATGAGTGTGTGTGTGTGGATGTCTCCCAGAAATGGGTTGCGGCTGGAAGGGCATCTGCTGCGTAAAAACTTGCTGGATAAGTTGGCGGTTCATTCCGCTGTGGCGACCCTGGATTAATAAAGGGACTAAGCTGACAAGAAAATGAATGAATGAAAAGGCAAAAACAAACATGATAGTAATGAAAATCCATAAAACGTATTTGAATAAAAACAAAAAGGGTTTTGTCCATGTGTTTAAATCTTCAGTGCTGCACTTTTGAGCCACGTAGTCACACGTTCTTCAATCCTCTATGGAAAAACAAAAGGAACATTTTGTGTGAAAGGCATCCCAGCTCTTTTCCTCAATTAAAATAATGACTAATTATTCCATTATCTGTGTTTTTCTATAAACTCCATTATGTTTTTACCTTCCTGGCTTGGTGCAGTGCAGGTTTATTCACTGATTTTTCTGAGTTCATGTCCATACAGTGAGCAGTGCCGTTAATAAAAATGACTCTGTCATTGTCCGCCATAGTTTCATTCCAGACCACACTTAGCGCTGCCCATGGATCAATGTTGCCTTGATCAGAAGAATAGCTTTTTATGACTTTTGATGATGTACTTTTTTAAAGAAATTAACTCAAACATATATTTTATAGTTGATCTAATTATACATACTGTAAGGCAGAATTATCACAAACATACTTCTTTACAGTTTTATTCATTATTTTTATGTTGTTATTGTTATTAGATGCATATTTTATGGCAGTACAGCATATGTTGTTCTATATAAAATCACAGTCATGATATAGTAGCATTAAATATCATTACTCTTACTTGATACAACCATAAAAGGTGAGTTAAATTCTTCTTAGTTTGCTCATATTTTTTAACAGACCTTTTTATTTTATTTTTTACAATTCGTAAACATTTTTTTGAAAAAGCCCTTACAACCCTGTTTACCGTTGACATAAAGCACTCTTTGAGTTTGAGGCTGGTTTCCTCCATAGTACTGGTTGGTAAAGTCAATGGAGACAAGCAGACTGTCCTGAGAGATGTTGAAGAGTCGAGAGCAGAGCTCAGTCTGAGACTGAAGAGTGAACCTACGGGAGAATGGGCAGCTATCGTCCTCACATGTTTGATCTGCTCCATAAATCAATAAAAAGGTACACAGTTACTTCACTCTTAACAGGCATTATTCAATTTCATTGCATTAGATGTAAAAATAAGTGAAGTTTATTCATGAAATAATTTCAAGAGGATCACGTGCTTATGATTTATCACGGCCGGTCTCGTATTTGCTAATCACTATCTTCCAATTGTATGAGCCCTAAGCTACTATAAATAACCACAGTTTTCAGTTCACTTTATCTTCGGTTGGAAGAAACCCCCATTCCTCCCTTATTCTCCTCCTTTACCTCTGATCGGGCGGCACGGGGGCCCAGTGGTTAGCACTGAGCCCCACAGCAAGAACACTGCCGGCCCTGGTCCCATTTTCCAGGCGTTTCTGTGAGGAGTTTGTATGTTCTCCCCGTGTCCGCATGGGTTTTCCCGGGTTCTCTGTTTTCCTCCCACCATCCAAAGACATTCAACATGCATAACAATCAAGCATTTGTCTAACCACTTTTGTTCCCTTCGATATCGCAGCCGGGGAGTTCTGAGATCCACCGAGCTCAGGCTCCACTCTCGCTCTGCCAACTGGAGGAAGCCCCTGGCTCGAGGATCCCTTGAGCTCGGTGCTCTCTCCCGGGACAGCATGCCAAACTAACTTTTCTAAATCATCAGCTAAGTGTAAACTCTTGAAATGGCATTTATTTTAAAGGTAACACCGACACAAATTATAAGCAATGATTATAAATTATAAGCAATGATTATAACAGATTCACCATTCAAGATAAAGACTATGTACAGTGGAAATCAAAACAATAAACATGTGGTTTTTTTTCCAGAAGATTTAAATATTGATCATTCTTTTTTTGTACTACGCTGTGAAATGTTTTTTACAAAATAAGCAAGGCACTAACTGTGATCAAATTTAGAGAACAGTAATGATTGTAACAGAAAGAAAGATAACATTAGACCTTTTTGAAGAATCCTAAATAAGTAGGAACTGTATTTTAGTCTTGACTAGATCACTAGTCCTGCACAGACATCACTAGTCTCTCAGCACGTCACTAGTTTTTTAGCACATCACTATAATCTCTCAAAGGACATAACTAGTGTGCTTAATTTTGTTTTTCCCTCTCTCTTTCGGTCTCCCTGCAGGTAATTGTGTTCACCCTGTAGGGATCATTGGATCTTTGAAGTTATTGGCTGTTAGGAGAGGAGAGAGCGTATTTAACCTGAGCTGCCTCTCAAGCCAGCATTGGTGGTGGCCAGGTAATGTGGGGGCTGAGCTCTTCTTTGCATCCAGACCTGTTGTGTTCCAGCGCTTAAAAGATCTGATTTAGCTTAAGTAGCTCATTTATGTTGAGACTGTTGAAGTAGAACTTCTATTGTTAATGATGTTTCAACATCTAACAATTCACGCAAAGAGAAGTGAGTTTGGTTGATTTATCTTTACTTTGTTTCTTTTAAGAATTGAGTATGGGTGCCATTTTGTTTTGAATAACTATTTTTGTCCAGTTTCTGCCAGTAAAGTAAGTTAGTTTATGATTTTGTTTTTTCTTTTCAGATTCTTAAGAGATTTTCTTAGGAATTGGTTCTATTTTGTTTGTTATTTTGTCCCCTTTCATTGTTATATTTGACTTATGCAAATTAACTTCTCTTTTTCTAGTTTTTACCTTGATTTTGTTAAGTCATTAGCCATTTTGGGGTGCGTATCCTAAACAACAACATAACTCGCGGCTAAACTATTGATGCATCATATGATGCATCACTTGGGAAAAGAATGATGTTGTGACGAGTGTTTTCCAAAACCCGTAGTTTCTCTGTCGCATATCCATCGTTTGAGCCACGTTAGTTATAACATGAAACGCCCATAATGATGCTCTAAACAGGGTGGAGTAACTACTTTTTTAGAGAAGAACCCAATCATTTCTTTGTGCAAATTATATTGTTTTACACCCACTGGCATAAAAAAATCCAATATTAGTTTTGGTAAAAACATGCACTCACTTTCTATATTAGTTGAATAATATGTAAATGCCACACAAAGGGCCTGTGTTTCCTTTACTAATATTATTGAGAATATTACCAATTCTAATCTAAATGAACATAAAACCACTTACAAAAGCTAACACAAATTCTAACCTCATATATAAATCATATAAATATATTATGAGGCTATTTATTAAGAAATGAAATGTAATATTAATTATTTATTTGGAAATTTAAAAAATCATGTTTTAATAATAATTTAAATGATGATGACGATGATTATTATTATTATTAATATTATTATTGAGTAGGATATATATATATATATATATATATATATATATATATATATATATATATATATATATATATATATATATATATATATATATATATTTATTTATTTATTTATTTTTTTCTTTTTTTAAGCCAACAGGCCCACGACATATACATACAGATACTTTATGAATAACCTACTATAAATATAAATGATTAACGTTTACTATGTTTTTTGTTTTCACAAGCTTTGAAGACATAACATATATTCTGCTTTTAAATCAGAGGTCACCTATAGCTTTCATCATGAGCCACGGCTGTGTTCAAAATGACATCAATCAATGTTTTCAGTGTTTACTGCGAAGGGAGAGCAGTTATAAACATGAAGTTCGCTGAAACTGAACTTTAAAAATGCGTTGAAAGCAAATTTTGCCAAACGAATGCCAAATGCCAAATCAACAAACTATGTTTGTAAAGACGCTACTTGCCACCTTAGTTGGCAAACGATGGTTGTCGGAAACGCACCCCTGGTTAAGGAGATGAGTTCTTCTTCTAGCCATGGCACATCACCAATCAATTATTTTCTGTTGCCATCACATCCCCAGTCCAACTAAGATTGTCTCTCAAAGACATAACTAGTTTCTCACAGACATCACTAATCTCTCACAGGACATACATACTGTTTAATAGTTTCTCACAGATCTATCACTAGTCACTCACCGACATCAATAATATCATACAATCCTCTGATGGGATCTTGATCAGCGTTTCTTCAGTCTCTTTTACTCTACATGGACTATGGTTTCTTAGCCACAACTTTGTCGCCATGAATTTGAATCCTAAACCAGGGCTGCTTCAATTTTTTCTGTTTCCAGCTTCAATGTTTATATGTTTTTCTGTGTGATGACTGCGAGACATCTCTTCATAGAGTGTGTGTGTGAGTGTGTGTGTGTGTGTGTGTGTGTGTGAATATTTGAATAACTGGGTATTTGTTTGAGAACTAGACATTAAATAATGACCAAAAAGAATAGACTTCCAATACTCACAAAAGCCAAACTCAGTGCAGGTCTGGTAGAACCATTGTCTGTAACTAGATGTAGCTGTAGTGTTGTTGAGTTCAAGAAAAAGCTTCTCATGAGAGACATCCAGACATGGGAGATTTTCTCTGGCACGATACATCTGAAGATACATGTATGCCAAACATAGAAAAATGGGCATTTCTGATTTAACCATGCATTATGAGGACAGCCATGAGTGTTACACACACACAAACAACACTGGATTATGAGGACAATCAGTGTTAACTGGGCTTCACTCACACACACCAACACACATTACTAACACTGAATTATGCACACACATCTTTATGCCAACTTCCAATAAGTGAACTGATTTTTATACTGTATTAAACTTATACTACACCTAACTCAATCCCTTAGGAAACTTTCTGGAAAAAATACTACATACCCATATTATTATTTAAATGTGTGCCCTTAAATGTCATTGAAACAACACACACACACACTTTGAAATTTGAAAGTTGTTACCATCACTAGTTTGACCAGACGGTCATAAGCCTCCTCCCTTGGATCACTCTTATTGGTCATGATGTCACAAAGCTCCGCGATGCTGAATGCGACACCTTGCTCATTGTACTGGACAGTTCCCATAAATACATCGGCCAAGCTGTGCAGAAGTTCTGTCTTGTCCTCCAGTTTCAAAGGAGTCTCACAACAGCCAAATTCTTTTCCCACTTCTGTCTCATTTCCCATAAGCAGAGCTGCTTCTACTGCTGCAAATGCCCCCTTCACTTCTGCTACACACTGGACACACACACTCAGATGCATAGGCAAACAAACACAAATTCAGCATGACATTAAATGTGCTCTTACCTTTTTAGAGCCACCCACTGCCTCATTTGTTAGACTATGACCAACCACCTGTAAGAAAAAGAAAGAAAAAAAAAAAAAATATATATATATATATATATATATATATATATATATATATATATATATATATATATATAGTTGTTTATATATATACAACAGTTCTGTCTGCTTCTTGAATCTGATTTGCTGATAGTCGTGCATATTTTGCCAGTAACATCACACAAAGGCCTCTTCAGCCTTCACCTTTGTGAAATACTCCGCCCACATAGAGTCAGAGACCAGAGAGAAACTACAGTTTGACAAATATTACTGCTGTGTACTTTTGAGCCTTGTTTAGTCGAGAATGTAGTTATTTCGATTGCAACTATGCAGTTTAATTGTAAGGATAATGCCTATTTAAAATATTTACAATTTCTGAGAAATCTGGTAAGCTGGTAAGCATACTTGCCAACACTCTTGTTTTTCATGGAATATGCCGTATTTCAGACCAATCTCCCGCAACCATTCCGTTTTTTATTTCTTCCGGACAACTCCCATAATTTCACCCCCCTTTTTGGTGCAGTATGTAAACACCCCCAGGTTGCTAACTTTAGTACAGTACCCGATCGTAGTGGCCACCCAAACCCGCTGCATCCTTTAGAGACCTCATCCCAGAACACCCGGTCTCCCGGATTTTCAGAGACATGTTGGCAGGTATGGTGGTAAGTGATATTAGCCCATTTCACACAGTGATACCGGTAAATTTCTGGAAAATTTCCGGAACGACTTTACCGGTATATTCAAAAAAGCGCTGTTCACACAGGCGAGGACGTTACGGAAATTTTCTGGAAAAGAGCATTCACACATCCATTCCAAAATACCGGTAAATTCTGACATCATTCACCACAAATGAGCTTTAAACGGCTGCGCTTGTATTTGTAAACATTTGACTAAATTACAAACTCTGTGGATGATCAATATTGTGAACAACTTTCGCAGGATCACTTTCGCATGTCGAGATGTTTATAATATGTGCGTGTGCAGGCGCTCACAGGCTCTTTCACAGGCACACGCAAAGCTTGAAGGTAAACAAACAACGGCTTATCATAAGCATCTCATCGATGATTATTTACACAGTTGGCATAAAGAAGAACATATAAACGTGATCTGACTAACTTCTAGCAGCTAAATGTGTCTGGAAAAATATTCAAAGGTTTTTATTCTCACAAACAGCGTGGACGTAAATGCGTCTGACTGTTGTGATTGGCTAAAGCAGACGCCTCACGTCAGCACGTTCTAGACGTGCACGCGCTTATTACGGCAATCTTCCTTCTGCATTCACACAGCGCAGCATTCCGGCAAATTGCCGGTAATGTTACAACTTCTCTTTCCGGAAAATAGCCAGAACGAATTTACCGGTATTTTCAAAAAGGACCTGTTCACACATACAACCTTTGTTGTGGAAAGGTCTGTATGTGTGAAAGGGGCTAATCTAAGTCAATCTTTTGTATGTATGTATGTTGTAGTGCTGTATTTATGCTGATTTGTTCACATATCAGGAATTTGTGTTGTGTTGGCAGAAAGAAAAAAATATATGTCTGCATGTGAAAGCCTGCATGTGTTAAGCGTTTTTTCTTATCTCAAACACAACAGCAGTCTGGTAGTGATTGCGTTGCCTTCTTGAAGGCTAATTTTGCTCACACTGTAAGATTATAAGGCTGAACGTGACATGAAATGCCATCCATCTACAGAGATATTTTCTTACAATGCCACAGTCTACAGTTTTCTCTGTTGCAATTGGGATGTCACGTTCAGCCTTATAATCTTACAGTGTGAGCAAAATCAGCTGCCTTGTCATCACTTTAGACAATACACTATAGAGAGTCATTCAAATACTAGATCTAAAGTGACGTTGGTGAATTAGTAAAGGCTTCTACTGTTTTGACGTCAGCTGCAGATGTGAATGAATGGCAGAAGAAAGTAGTTCCTTATACAAAAGGATTTTTAGAATTTCCGTGTTTAGTTTTCTTATTTATATACACGATTGTGCCGTCCAACTCGTAGCCATGTGATATGGCTTTATATCAGCACTGGTGGGACACTAAGGCCAATGCACGCCTCCCACCAGTGCTGATATACAGCCATATCGCACTGCTATCTGTACGATATTACCAGTCGAAATAAAACAAATAAGATTTTATAAAAATCATAGGAGACCTAAACTTCTAAATGCCGATGCCTAAACAAAAATGCTAAACTGTACAAATAATGCAATAACGACTGTAAGTTTTATGCTCAAATGGATAACATCTCCTGGCATTGCAAGATGAAAACTTACCCTATTGTAAGAGCTAAAGTCCAAAACAGCATAAACGGGAGCAGATGATGCCACTGCTCCATAGATAAGATGAGGGAACTACCAGAGAAACAAAAAAAAGTTATTGAATAAAATATATAAATTGTTCAGGGTTACACTGATAAAAGAATTTGATAAAACTTAAGTCTTTATTTTATTAATAAATAAAGATGTCTAACGTGGGCACTGTAAGATAATCTATAGATATATTCTCCCTGTGTTCATGTGAGTTTCCTCCAGTTGCTCCGGTTTCCCCAAAGTGCAAAGACTGTGAAATGAAATAAGCTGAAGTTGCTGTAGTGTGTGTGTGTGTGTGTGAATGCAAGAGTGTATGGGTGATTGCCAGTGTTGGGTTGCGGCTGTGGCGATCCCTGATTAATAAAGGGACTAAACTGAAAAAAAAAAATGAATGAATAAATGAATCAATTGTGAAATCTTACCTTGTTGATTCTGGTAATAAATCTTGGTGGAGATTTCATACTCTAATATGGATTATTTGAGCTGAAAATCTAGATAAAGTAAACCATTGTAAAATTCTTAAACTGAACAACGATGAGAGGTTGGAGAACAAACCTTTCCTCTTAACCAAGCTGAGAGAGCTCCAGCATAGGAACCCCCAAAGCTGATCCAGGTGTTCCTATGAGAAAGGCTGAAACGCTGGCTGATATAATGATGGAAAGCAGCCAAATCTGCCAAACTGAGACAGGAAGGAGATGAAACATGTTATAAATGTCATTGTGGTGATAGAAATGTCTGTCACCATCACATACGCTTGTTGGCTGGAAAGATCTCTCAATTTGTCTGTCTCTAGACCATCTGGGTTGATGCTCTCCCCGTAGAACCGATGCTCTAGAGCCACCAGCAGTGCTCCATGTCTCTCTGCCATCTCCACATGATGACCTGAAATATGATTCAACAGAAAGAATTATGATTTCTGTATCATCATTTATCAAAAATAACTAAAACAGCCTGATTCTATAGTAGAACCTCAAAAAATTGTTATAAACCATCTTTTTATCCCTGTATTTTCTCTTTGTTTATGTCATTCGATCGTGGTTGCATTTCTCTCTTAGTGCTGTTGGACCTCTGTGCTGCATTTGATTGACACTATTGATCATAATATTCTCCTTAATAGGCTTGAAAATGATGTTGGTATTACAGGAACTGCATTGGCTTGATTCAGGTCTTACCTATCGGATGTTTATCAATTTGTATTAGTTAAAAAAAGAAGTGTCATTTTGATTACGATGTGGAGTCCCACAAGGCTCATTTCTTGGTCCCTTACTTTTCACATTATATATGCTATCACTAGGTGATATCTTTAAAAACCATAGATATATACACTAGATGTCGCCTGGCCTATTGTTGTCTATCGGACGGAATGCCTCAATAGCGCCGCCATCTTGCTACAGGGTAGCGCTCCCTTTGAAATGAATGCGGGACTAAGGTACAGTTGAGGACTGTGGCCATGCAAAGCCAGAGATATACACATATACACATATATCTATGATCGGGAGTTTTCCTGGATGTTAGTATGTAATTTTTTTTTCTAATTACGAAAATTATAATTTTACATCACTTTTCTACATTGATGGATCAGTGACCTCACGGGCATTCCTGACAAAAAGCTTGTGTTTGTGTGTACAGAAATGTACTATTCACCCTCCCTGTTAAATATAATCTAATCATGTCCTGAAACACACCTCCTCTCCTGCGTTCACTTCTCATACTGACGGAGTGAGCGATTCGTTTGTGAATGAATCCCCCGAACGACTCTTTCACTAACGTTAGCCGACAATAATACAAGTTTCTGGCAGCGCAGCATCTCGCTGTCATATTTCTTTTGCATTGTTTGCTGATTTTATTTAACAAAACTAGCATAAGCCGAGTGTTTAGTGCGAGTTGGAGCTGCTTTGCCGTATGGTGAATGCAGTAAGTGACTGTTATCCTCAATAACGTTACCTGATTTGCACACAAGTTCAGAACAAACAAAAACAGAAAAAAACATAATATTACCTATGAAATGTTCTGCCTTTGTGCTTTATTTTCTTTGTTTGCTCGTTACTACACCTGTAGACAGCGCTAAAGTCCCGGGTCTTCACGTAATAACACTGTCTTGACTAGTGCGGTTGAATGACATTTGTCCTGGGAGCACTGTACCAATGTGGCGGTGCTATTGACGCATGCTCAGGGTCCCTATGCGATATCTAGTGTATATATCTATGTTTAAAAACATGGAGTTAGTTTGCACTGTTATGTCGATGATACACAACTCTGCATCTCCATTCAGCCTGATAATTTGTATGAATTCACAAAATTATCAGATTGTGTAGATGATATGAATAACTGGATGACCAAAAACTTAAAACTGGGGTCTTGCTTATTAGAGCCCAAAACTTCTCATGCAAAAACCTAGAATACTGTCTCACCCTTCATGGCTTTGCAGTTCAGTTCTTCTCTTCAGTCAAAAAGTAAGAGGTGATTTATGACAATACAGGTTTACAGTTGTTTGAAATGTGTCATTTCATCTTAAAAGATTGCCTAATTTCGACATATGCTATCAGTGTCTAATACGGAAAACTTATTCATGCTTTTATGACCTCTCAGTTAGATTACTGTAATTACTGTTACTAAGTGGTTGTTTTGGAGGCCTATTTAAAAACCCATATCCAGTTCAAAATGCAGCTTTCTAGAATTTAGAAATTTGATCATTTTACTCCGGTTCTTTCAGCATTGCTTTGGCTCCTTTCTAAACATCATTTACATTTTAAAATCTTATTGACAACAAAGCCCTAAATGGCTTAGATCCCCAGTATTTGAGGGAGCTCCTGGTGTATTACAGCCTCTCACATTTGCTACGCTCAACTAATTATGGACAACTGATTATTCCTATAATCAAAACTGATTGTAGTTGTTTTCATATCCAGCACCTAAACTCAATAACAGCCTTCCTACAGCATAGTCAGAGAGGCAGACAGTTTAAATCTAGACTAAAGACATATCTTTGCATTCGCGTACACAAAAAACACGCATAACTTTCAAAATCCAAATCCTCTAAAGGATTTTTAGGCTGCAGATTATAAATTTTTTGGCCAATTTACTGTGTATTGCCATCAGCATTTTACAATCATATGAGGGGTCTTTCCTCATCAACACCAGTGTGCAGCATGCAGCTGGATGATGCAAAGGGAAGCTACAAAACAACGGCTCTAGTGCACTTCATCTGCAGGTGGAGAGACGGAGATTCAATTAAGTTCAATAATGCGTAAGGGCTGATGGAGGAAATATGGTCAGGACAGCGAGGTTACACCCTCACGAAAAGTGCCACGAGATGTTTTTAATGGCCACAGAGAGTCTGGACCTTGGTTTAATGTCTCATAAAAGATTATAATGTCCCCATCACTACTGGGACTTAAGGACCCACACACTCTCAGAAATAAAGCTACAAAACCTGTTACTGGGGCGGTAACTTTTTTAACAGGTGCTTATTTGTGTAAAAAAAAAAAGATACATTTTAAGAAGGCACCGCCCCAGCAGACTTTATCTGTAGACTACACTTCTCCTCCACTGCTGGCTTTACTCAAACCACACGAACAAAACTGCTATTTGGCGCCACCCGGTGGACATTTCAAATGAACGCAGCAATGATATTTAGGAGGGGGAATTACAGTTTTTTGTAATCCTTTTATCATACAAATACTACAGGAACATCACTTTAGATAACCAGCACTCAAGATACACATCGTTTCAATAAACAATCATTTAAAAAAGTGGAGGGAATTTTTTTAATTTTATTAATTCAATATAATAGTAATAATGTAGGTTTACTGTTACAGTTTTTTAAAATGGTTGTCACAAATTTCAGAACCCTGATGTCAATTTTCAAAGTGCTAGACACAAAAATCCAAAACTTTTATCAGAGACTCTCCAGTATTCAAAACTCTGCATGCACTGTAAAAAATGCAGGGTCCCACACAATTCCTTCATGTTGTACCAACACAAATCGATTAAGTTAACTTAACACTTTTAACTATTTTATGTTGATTGAACTTAAAAAAATTAAGTTGTTCCAATGAAATCTCAAGGATTGTGTTGTTTCAGCTCATTTTAAATAGTTTGAACAAGTCATAAAAATGATTTTGAGTGTGTTGTGTTATAAAAACAATCATTCACAATAATTCAATATTGTTGTTAAAAATATGATATTGGTTTCATTATGGTTTATACATAAATGTAGAGGGAATGGTACAAACACTGAACAAAAGTTTTATTCATTCAATCATAATGTAGGTTTACTGTTAAAAAAATGTTAACCAAAGTGTTTCTTACTTCATGTCTCCATATTGAAGGCTGATATATGGCAACATATGCAAATTACAATTGGATTTTCACAGACTATATATGTACATATATGCAAATATGTGTGTGTGGTTGTGTATACGTAATATTTTCATAGATAAAATATATAACATTATAGGTAATATATTTACGTAACATACATGTACATATTTGTAATTCTAATGATTAAAAAAGGTAATACTCTTTTAACATTTTGACATGACATATTTTATATAGGGCAGCATGGTGGTGCAGTGGATAGCACAATGGCCTCACAGCAATAAAGTCGCTGGTTCGAGCCACGGCTGGCTCACTTGGCATTTCTGTGTGAAGCATGTTCTCCCCGTGTTGCCGTGGGTTTCCTCCGGGTGCTTCAGTTTCCCCCACAGTCCAAGGACATGCGGTACAGGTGAATTAAATAAGCTAAATTGTCCGTATTGTATGTGAGTGTGTGCAAGAGTGTATGGGTGTTTCCCAGTGTTGGGTTGTGGCTGGAGGACATCCACTGCATAAAACCTGTGCTGGATAAGTTGCTGGTTCATTCCGCTGTGGCGACCCCTGATTAATAAAGGGCCGAAAAGAAAAATGAAATATTTTATATCTGTGAAATCTATCTGAACTAGTATGTTACATATGTAATGTAATTTGCAAATCCGTATTTTCATATGTCAGATTTGTATTTTGGCATCTGTGTTTCCATCAGTTTGGTCTTGTGGATTTGATCACAGGTTCTCCACATTACAGTGGTGTTTTCATTAGTCAAGTATCATGGAAAGAACTTCTGTCACTGTAAACCCAGGCCTGACACTGGTCTGCTCTTACAGTATGCTTTGAATGTACTTGCTTGCATACAGTAAAGCCAAATATGAAAACGCTGTCTGTAAAAGTGTACATGGGACAAAGAAACAATAAATATGGAATGATGAAATCAGTTGGGTCATCTTCTGTGGTAATGGCTGTTATTTTATCTATCCTGAAACGTTCATCATCTAAACATGCATCAGGAGTAATGCAACAGTTGTATCAGTGGATAGTTACATCATGGTAATTAAATGAACACACGGTTATTCATTTATTCATTTTCTTGTCGGCTTAGTCCCTTTATTAATCCAGGGCTGCCACAGCGGAATGAACCGCCAACTTATCCAGCAAGTTTTTACGCAGCGGATGCCCTTTCAGCCGCAACCCATCTCTGGGAAACATCCACACACACATTCACACACACACACACACACTCATACACTACGTGAAGTTTATTTATAAACAAATTTCGAGAGGATCACGTGCTTATGATTGTTCACAGCTGTTCCAACTTTAGCTAACGACTGATTATCCTATCAGACGATCCTTAACTCACTATAAATAACCAGACTTTTCTCATCTCAATATCTTCGTCTTGAAGAAACCCCCCCACCCAATTCTACTTTCCCTCCTTTCAAACGGGCGTCACGGTGGCCAACGATTAGCGCTGTCGCCTCACAGCAAGAATTCCCCTGGTTTAATTCCTTCCAATCCAGACCGCATTTCTGAGCGGAGTTTGCTCGTTCTCCCCGTGGTCGCGTGGGTTTTCCCCGGGTCCTCCGGTTTCCTCCCACAGTTCAAAAACAAGCACTCTAAACAATTAATCCAAATACCTTAGCTAAACTCTGAGTTCACCTTTCAGCATCCATATCTGACACTTGGCTACAACAAGCAAGAGGGGGAGTCATCGAGATCTACCTGAGCTCACACTCCCCTCTCACCTTGCAACGGGAGGGAACCCAGGGCTCGAAGATCTTATAAGCTTAGGGCTCTCTCCCAGGACAGCATGCCAAACTAGCTTTATTATCAATCATCAGCTAAGTGTGAACTCTTGAAGGACAATTTAGCCTACCCAATTCACCTGTACTGCATGTCTTTGGACTGTGGGGGAAACCGAAGCACCCAGAGGAAACCCACGCGAAGGCAGGAAGAACATGCAAACTCCACACAGAAAAACCAACTGAGCCGAGGTTCGAACCACCGACCCAGCGACCTTCTTGCTGTAAGGCGACAGCACTACCTACTGCGCCACTGCCTCGCCAACACACCGTTATTTCAAATGTTATGTGTAAGTTGCGTTTTAAGATGGGATCAATTTGATGTTTAATTGTGTTACTTTGAAAAGGTGATCTTAGTTCAGTGAACAAAGTATCAAGCTTTGTGTACTGTATCCCAGCATTTGGGAAAAAAAAATTAAGAGTTTTACAAAAATGTGCAATATTAATTGTGAATAGTTGTGAATTTTGTGTCTCGAGTTTAGAAAATTGACACCAGGGTTCTGAATTTTGTGGCAAAACAATTGTAGAAAACTGTATTTCAGCTTTAGCAATGGATATTGTAATGTTGGGACTTGAAGCAAGAAAAACTGTTGCTCACCAAATAACACAGAGAATTTGGATAGAGGGCCTTCTCCTCCTATATAAAGAAACACTGGCCCGTCTGAACGCTGCCAATACACGTCATTCACAAAATATGTCTGTGCAGAATAGGAAAAACAATATATTATCATGTCAATAGAAGTTTACAGGTACAAATCATTTCTTCATTTTAATATAAAGGAATCACAGGTTGTTCATTATAATAGTCTATTATTAGACTATTATTAGAAATATTTGTTCTAGAAATATTCATTAGGTCTTGAGCCACCTTGATCATATTAAAAAAACCATGACATTTAAAGTAGACTGTGAATGCAAGGCATGTCTGATTGTATTTATTACCTGTGGTAAGGTTTTGTCATTTTGCCTGTCAAAGTGGTCCACGGGTTGGTGAATTGTGCCTTTTTTTGGAGTAGCGTGTGTCAAATGCTGTTTTACTTTGGCTTGCTGTATGTTATGCACATGATCCTTTATTCTCCAAAGAACTTGACCTAAAATATATACGGTATAGAGTTTGGTTATGTAAGGTGGGATGAGAATAAAAACATTTGCTTCAGCTAGAACAGAAATAAGTGCTTCAGCCATTTTTTTAGGATTTGCAGTAGAAGCTACTTTTTATAAACTGGTAAATTAGGCTTGTATTGGCTTACCAAAGCTTTCAGTGCATGGTTGATTGTTTTTAATATTGGGACAGTTGCAACAGTTTTTGCATTTCCTTCAGTTTCTCAGAGACAGTTTTTTTTTTTTTTTGTGCAAGTTTTAATATGATGAACCCATATCTATCCAACACCAACGTACATTGCTATAATGTGTGTATATATATGATAACATATGCAGTATTATATTAACTGACCTCAAGCTGGGGTCCACAAGTAAAGGGACAGTTACTCACAGGGACAGTTGCAACATTTATTGAAATGTTATAATAAAAAAAAATTCTAAAATATCAGGTTGGATTTTATTTAGATTTTTTGGCAAACAGACCATGTAAAGTCGTCACCTTGTAATTATAAGGTTCTATTTGCGTTCTAAATGATTTTGAGATATTGAGCTTCAAAGTTTATGCATTCCAAACAGACAACAGTATGCGTGTAACATATCTCTTTCATACATTAACATGACAGAGACCCTAAATATACTCTAAATGTAAATTATCAAAAAATTTGGTAAGACTTTATAATAACTACACACTATGAATCATTTATTAAGCATTAGCAAATAGTGAACTCATTATCTGTCAAGCATTAACTCTACATTAATAAACATTAGTAAGCAGTTTATAACTGCATCTATTAATGCTGTATTCTTGACTTACGACCACATTTATAATGTGCTTAATAATTGTACTTTCATACTTTGTTAATTATTTATTTTTCATTACTAAATAAAGTATTGCATTATTTACAAACCAGTTATTTAAGCATAGTTGGTGGTTTTTTAAGATCATTCAGAATGAGTTAGTAAATGATTAATAAACTATTGAAAACAACATTTATATATCTTATTATTCAGGCAAATATTTATACTTAACTAATGTGTTAATAAATGCTTTACTAACTCAACTTCATCCAGTTTTGTGACGTAATCTAAAGTGAGGACTATTCTTGCTTTATAAATGCCTTATAAATGATAATTGAAGAGTCAGTTAAATTCTAAAAAGGAAAGAAGTACATAAACAACATTATTAATTTCTTTTCATTTGAAGATACACTAATAAAACTGTATCAAATGAAAAGTAAATCTGTGCAACCTGATCTAAAATAAAATGACTGTACAGTTTAAACATTGCATCTTTTTTTTTATTGTTGAATTATTATAATGTTGTTGTTTTATACAATTTTATGTCGTATTTTGACACTCCTGTTATTCAGCAATGTTCAATATTTACAATATCTAATTCAGAAAAGATTGCAGTGATTATTGTTCATTTGATACCAAACCTTTAATTATCATTTATAAGGGATTTATGAAGCATAAATAGTCCTCACTTTAGATTAGGTCACAAAACTGCATGAAGTTGAGTTAATAAAGCATTTGTTAACATACTAACATATGCCTGAATATTAAGATGTATAAACCTTGATTTCAACAGTTTATTAATCATTTACTAATTCTGAATGATGTTAAAAACCTCCAACTACTCTTAAATACAACTGGTTTGTAAATAATTCAAAACTTCATTTAGTAATGAAAAATAAATCATTAACAAAGTATGAAAGTACAGTTATTAAGCACATTATACATGTGGTTGTAAGGCAAGAATACAGCATTTGTATTCACAGTTGTAAACTGCTTACTAGCGTTTAATAATGTAGAGTTAATGCTTAACAAATAATAAATTCACTAGATGCTAATGCTTAATAAATGGTTTATAGTGTGTAGTTATTATAAAGTGTTACCAAAAAATTTTTACATTTGCAAATAGGGAAAAAAAAAAACGGCAAATGCAGATAGAAGCTTCTAATTCTAAAAAATATTTTTCCCCTTGGAATTATAAAGTTCTATTTGACAGATCATTCACTGAAGCATTACTAATCAAGAAATACAATCAGTCTGCTTATTAATTTAATAATAATTAAAAAAAATTGGTTTTGTTTGATATGTAGATGTTTGAGAAAGTTTTTTTTTCTTTTTATTTTTTTTTTTTGCTTTCTATAACATTTAATTAATGTTTTAGGATAAATATTTTTTTCAAATATGTTCAAATTAAGCATACAAGGCTGTGCTTTATATTTTGTCCAGTCCAGCTGTTAATTTTATGTAATTAATATGAATTATATACTTTATGTGAATTACAAAATTATATTTATTGATTTATTTGCCCCATAAAATAGTATTTGCCCTTAAAGGCTTAATATTAAATTGAAAGACTTTAAAAGAAAACAGACAATGAGCAAATGAATTTAATAAACACAGAAAAATGTTGCACTGACTATATACACTCAAACAAAAATATTTGACATTTAATATATTACATTTTAAATAGCTGTTTCTGTTTTAACAATGTAAATCTCAATGTGGAAAACGCTTCTTAATCCTCACATTTAAACCCATTTTTAGTTTCAGGTTTCTTTTTAATTTTATGTGGTGCGGCGTTATTTAGTTCATTCTGATTTTGTGTTTCTTTCTGGTCTTTCCCACTGTCAACAGAACAATGCAGCATATGACAAAGAAACCTGATTGGTCCTCGTGCATGCATTCGAAATGCTGATTGGCTAATAGAAAGAACCTTTAAGAGCGAAGCTAAAGTTCGACTTCGTAGATAACACCTTTTTTGTTTAAATAAAAGTCTTAAAATTTAAACAATTTATAAAAAAAACATCACAATGTAAATAAGATGTCATTTAATAAGATTATGTGAATAACTTTTGTATTATATATTTATTATAATTCTAAGGTGACAATACTGTACTGTATATGAAATATACAAAAACACACTTACAATACTATCATAGATGCAATTATTATGTTATAACCATGTAGTAATCGCAATGTTATTACATTGTTATAACAATGTAATTACAATATTATAACAGTGTTACTACATAGTAATTACATACCAATTGAAAGTTTATAATAACAAATTTACTGTGTATATTTACATATACACAAATACATGACATGATACTGTACATGAAATATATGAAGAAACACTGGTTTATAAATATCTTGAACATAGGAAAAATGCAATAGCAATGTAATTACTAAGTAATGAAACTGTAATTAGGTTTTTAACTACATGTGTACTGTGTATATTTACGTATTTAACTTTAGATAATCAAATATTGCACATGAAATATACAAAGAAACATTCAAATTTATAAATATAACCTTGGATGTAGCTAAAATGTAATGACATAATAAGTACAAAGTAACGACACATTATTTACACACAAGACAATATTATTGTTACATATTACTTCTCAGATGCAATTATCAAGAAATGTTATTACAAAGTAAATAGAATGTCATTACATCCAAAATAAAAGGTTGTAATTACATATGTACTGTGTATGTTTACATACAAATAAACAAACACAATACTTTAAATATACAAAGAAGCATGGCTATAAATATTATCTTGGACATAATAGCAATGCAATGACATAGTAATTACAATGTAACGACACAGTAAATGCACACAAGATAAAAGTTTGTAATTACTTGTGTACTGTATATATTTATGTTTACAACATAAAGAAATACTGTACATGCAATATACAAGGAAATATTTACATTTACATTTATAAATATTATATTGGATGTAACTACAATGTAGTTACAACATAATGACATAGTAACTACAATGTAAAAACTTTCCAAATGTTTGTATGAAATGTTATAACAATGTAATTATATAGTAATCCAAAATACGTTATAACAATGCAATTACAATGTTATTACATATAAATACTTCTAAAATAGATTGTAATTAAATATGTACTGCATAACTTTATGTATAAATACACAAATACAGTACTTAAAATATTCAAAAAACACAAACTTATAAATATTACCTTGGATGAAAGTACAATGCATATACAATGTAAAGACATGGTAATTAAGTTTGTATTTACATGTGTACTTTGTATATTTATGTATACAACTATAGATAACCAAATACTGTAAATGCAATATACAAAGAAACATTTACATGCATAAATATTATCTTGGATGTAACTACAATGTATTTACAATGTAACGACACAGTAATTGTGCACAAGACAAAAGCTTGTAATTACATATTACATGTCAAATGTAATGACCATGTTCTAAAAATGCAATTACAATGTCATAACATCCATACTAAAAGTTTACAAATACATATGTACAGTGCATAATTACATATAAATACACAAATACAGTACTTAAAATATACAAAGAAATATGTTTATAAATATTATCTTGGATGTAATTACAATGTAATGACACAGTAATTGAACACAAAATAAAAGTTTGTAATTGCATGTGTACTGTATATATTTAAGTATAAAAATATAAATAAATACTGTACATGCAATATACAAAAAAATTTACATCTATAAATATTATCTTGAATGTAACTACAATGTATTTACAACAAATTGACTTAGTAATTAAAATGTATCAACAGTAATTGGTAATTGACAAAATCTTGTAACTACATTTTACAGCTCAAATGTAATTACAATGTTATAACAAACTAATCACAATGTCATTACATCGCAACTAAAAGTTTGTAATTGCTGTACATATGTACTGTGCATATTCATATATACTTAGGCAAATACAGTACTTGAAATATCCAAAGAAAGATGTTTATAAATATTATCTTGGATGTAGTTACAATGTTATAGTAATGTAATGACAAAGTAATTACAATGTAACAACACAGTAATTGAACAAAAAGCAAAAGTTTTGTAATTATATGTGTACTGTATATATCTACGTATACAAACATAAATAAAGAATTACTGTATATGCAATTTACAAAGAAGCATTAACATTCATA